ATGCAGTTATATTAGCATAATTGAATTAAGTCAAACGAAGAGACAGTAGTTAAAAGACTTAATTATATTAATATAACAGTTCTACTTTTACCCTACCTACGCTTCCTCGCTTGCCACGTGTACGTCCGTCGGGGCACCCAAATCTCTTGCGTTAAGTTACGCAAGGGTGTGCCCCGTTACAATATGCAAAGCGCAATGTATTTGCTTTAGCAACCAACCGTTGAGCGCTGAGTCGAAGCGATCGATGGTTGTGTTGGTACAAAAGGATGGGCAAATCGTCAATCATGAAGATGAAAACCTTTGGGATGTGCTGCAGTATGAGTTTTGGACACTTCATACGATATATTGTGCGAGATCACTGACCCATCATTTTTGCACTGATATTCATCCAGCTATCGAATGGTTCTCATTTGCCATGATGATCCGATTTGTCGTTCCTAGTCGCAGAGCAAATTTCGCAAACTATGTCTGTGTCGTCGTTGACATATGTACAGGCAGGACATACCCACACACGGGTTCTGTGACCGCCTCGCATGGCCAAAGCTCGATCTTCACAAGCCGCAGATATAGACGAAGCATCACTGCCTATGGATGGGTGCGAGTGAAAGACGGAATTCACAAAGCCCACCTCACGCTCTTGACTATCGTCCACCACGAGATCATCGGCAGCATCTTCGGACACCCGCATGAACACAGCGTCTCCTGCTTTAATCCTAGTAGCACACAGCGACAGCAAAGTCAGCTAGAACAATTCATCCACCCTAGAGAAGATCGAACGCACCCCAACTCTTTGAGCGTACGACAATTTTCCAGAGCAGCACCCCTGTAGTACAAACGTTGACACATGGGAAGCGCATCGATTTCAGCGTAAATTTTCGCCTTCAGCATGTACACGGTATCTGTGGCGTTAGCTGTTATTGGCCTTGTCCACGCTGAACCTGGACGAGCACGCCTGGAACGTCGTCGACCACACGCTTTCTCATCCAGCGTCAAATTCTCCCTTGTTGGGACAACCTGACTGTCGTCTAGTTGCTGAATGTTCACAACACAATTTATGAAATTGACAAGCTCGTCGCGGTATCTTTCGTTTGAGCTTGCCTGACATTCCGCGCAGATTACAGTATTGTCCATCGCTTCTTGGCTGACCAGGGGCATAGTACCGTCAAGACGACCATCACTGCTCACATGTCGCTCACTATCAAGCTGCAGAGAGGCTAGCGAGCACTTTCGCCAAACCACATGAGATGCCTCTTCCCCGGACTCTGGAACGGTAGTAGCAACGAGAAGGCCGTAATACAACGGCATCGCAGGGGCGCCATAACGCTCAGCCAAAGCTTGCATTTCACCCATAGACACGAACTCCACATCTAACGAGCTCACATCGACGACTTGTCCCTCTTGTGCTGTCAGCAAGCCTGGGGATAGTACCAGTTTCTGGTGCATGCACTGCGGACACGACGACGTCAGCTTCGATGGCAGGGTCTCATCTACGCTGCGAATGTACTTTCTCCACTGTGTTAACCAGCTTCGAGACACTAAAAACATCGGCCTTGGTAGCCTCTTTTCGCCTTGTTGTACCGATAGCGACGCCTTCTCGGATCCTCTGCAGTCTTGAGCATCGGACTTGTCGAACACATCGCTTAGTCGAATAGTCCCCCTTTCGGTTTTGCGGCGAAACAAAGACTCCAAAGCAGTAACTGACATTATCTCGTCACGCACACCACGCTCCACCTCAATGCACTTCTTACTACTCATGTCGTCGATCTGGCATTGCAGACATGGGTCAGTCGTTGATGCATCGTACACGGCATGGCATGGATATTTACTGCTAAAGTGTGCCCACGTTTCCGCCGATACCGGTCGGTATGATCGCTTTTCCAATGTAAGATTGCCATGCAGACACGTGATATCTTTGTTGATCGGGTTTCGCCACACTTCCGTTTTGTCGCAAGCTCCACTCGACCCACTACTGCCATCAACGCTTCCATCTCTTTGGGCCGCATAAAAGACATTCAGCTCTGGATGAACCGGCACTTTTCCTCTCTTGTTTTTCAAAACTGCATGCGTGAGCTCTTTACGTAACATCTGAAGATGACTTTTATAACTTCTTAACCACGCTCGGCTCATCAAGTAAGCATTTCCAGCAGCATATGCAGCCGTCGCACTTGGAGGAATGTCCTTCAGCAGCACAAGCTCCTCATCAACTCGATGCAAGCGACCGGAATGCTTCGAGAGCTTGTTCTTGAACTCATTTTCACAAATGGTGCATCGATAGGAAGCGGCTTCAAATACTCTCGTATGCGCGTGGCCCCCACGGGCTGACCATGGTGTGACGCCACCGTTTTCCTTGATGTAAGCATACAAATTGGCCGATATGCGCTTCAGCCTATGCGCATTTTCGGGTGCGAATCGAAGAACAGGGGAGGTAGGCTTCTTCTCATGGCACCTTGCGCCAAGGTCGACATCACAGGAGTGCGCACAGCAAATAGATCCCACATCAATTGGCTCCGTGAAAGGTATGTCGTCACCACGCAACTCGCCTGCCCGAGCCGTTCTCGCTTTGGCATCTGCATCATTGGAATCCAGACGAGAATAATACGACAAAGGCGTCTGTCCAAAAAATGTCACGTCATCGTCGTGGAAGCGAGCACAACTTACTTTTCTGGTGTCCGGGCAATATAGAATGCATTCACCGTCACTCTTCTCGCCCGATGGCGCAGCATCTACGTAAGATGGATCAACGATAACGCATTCGTTGTTGTCACTATCTTTACCTCCTCGTTTGCCGGATGTGCTTGAGTTTAGCACTTGCTGATTCGACGATGCTTCAATGTTAGATGCATTGCGTGGCGAAATAGACAACATACTAACCGAATGGTCTAGCTTTTCCCCCGTCACCCAGCAACGTAACCATTCAGTGTCCACCCAGTAAAATGAAGATTCGGACATGCCTGGAAAAGGCTCGTTTTCTTCAAAAAAACGTTTATACGCGTCGAGTCGCTCCTGAATGCGAGCCTCCATTCCACTCACTTTACGAACGTACTCAGTTACCTCAGCACTGAAAGATGCATTGAGTACTTCCACTTCGTTTCGGCACCTTTTGGAAGGCAACGGAATCTCGTTCGTACCACTAGGGCGGCCACAATTAGTACTTGCTGGATCATCTCGAACATAAACAAGCATGTAGATATCTCGCGAGCATATTTTCGCACCATGACTGTGCACTTTTATCGTTTCTGACTTGGTCATATTGCTCACCACTGCATCATCAAATTCGAACCACTCCATCACAGATTCACTGTCGTCGCTATGCATCCGTTCGACAGGGTAGGCTACGGAAGCAGTGTAATGCCCAACGTGCGCGCTTTTACCTCGATGATTCAAATAGCCTTGTAAACGGTAGACAACATCGGCAGATTCGTCAAACGCCTCTGTCTGACCATTGCGACGCAGCAATTCGGTCAGGTTCAGGGTCACGTCAGCTTCAATAGCATCCTGTGAACGTTACGTGTTATCATGAATGCATTAGATACTCTTCTCCCCACTATATGTCACACGCCTTCCGGACGCACCGTCAACTTTTTCTTCCGTCCGGCATTCGCGTCGTAGACGAATCGCATGAGCTGAACCATTAACGTTGCCGGCAGTGCTCGTGGATTCAGCTCCAGAAAGCGCTCAGCACACTGCTTTGTGTTGCATTGTTCGCAGAAATACTTATTCTCTCCTTCCAGCACCTCTGCTGCTAGATAGGATCGGATGCAGTCCTCAACGCTCTTATGCCCCTTGATGTTCAGCGATATTTCGTAATACGAAGACGGCCGCATGGATTTGTGCTTGCAATTTAAACACTTGGTCACATAACTCATTTGCCCTTGGAAGATTTGATCGACCAAGTCCCACTGCCTCGGCAATTTGGATTGTCGAAAGATTGTGCGCAAGTGCGTCAGAAGCAACTTGCTAAATTCCTGCGGCACAACGCAATGCGAACAACCATGCGATGATTAGCACATGACCAGCGGCACCTTCACCCAGTCTAAATTCAACCCTTTCCCAAAAAATCGAATCGAACAAACAGTAAAACCTACAGAAACGAGCAACAAGCAAACAAGCACAGGTCAAGACAGATGTACAAACCTGTGCATCTTGCTGCATGACATTGTTCAGCAACAACGTGGACGTAAACTCGGTAGGGTCATAGCAGCTCTCATTGCCCAATTGCATTTGAGCAAAGAGGTTCTGCAACGCCGTCATCTGGAGCGTCTGTTCTTGGTTTCGTTGCTCATTTCGTGGCTCCCACTCGTACACAGCGTTCCGCAGCCTCAAGTTGGCGAACAAACACTGCAACAGGCTGTTCAAGTAGCACGTGGCGCCCAGATTCCGTAACCCGACCGGCTGCAACGTCTGGTTGACCCATTTGCGCTGTCGGACCCGCGGGTCGTCGCCAAACACCCGCTGAAGGAGCTGTGGCGTCTGCCACACGCCCGCTTGGTACTCGCCCAGGCCGTATAGACAGTTCGGGTTGTCGCTACAGTTGCGCAGTACGCCCGCGTTCTTGCCCCGCGCTGCGTTGCGGCGGTGGTGGTCCGCAAAGCGACACGGCCGCGTCGTGAGCAAGTACGGGTCTGCGAAGCGCTTGTCGTCGTCGTCGTTGTTGTGGTTGTTGTTGTTGTCGCGTTTGCGTTTCGCGCGGGCCATGTCGTGTCTTAATTGTGGCACAATAGAGTCGCGTGATTACGGTCGGTGGGCCGGAGGCGAGAGGAGGCGGCGGGGGCATACAAACAGCGAGTGTCGACGAATTACGCGACTGTTGAGCGTTTCGTGTGCGAGCACTTTTCGTGTCTGGTTTTGTAGGGCGCGTAGAATCCGTCGCGCGACAAAGACCCGATGACGGCTACGCTTTATACGACGGCTCGATCCGTCGTGTTGTCGCCCTATTCGAAACCTGTTCTCTTTTGCTGACCCGGAGTCAAGGCTTGTTATCGCATGACGGGTCGCATGTAGGAGATGGGGGCTGCGAGTCACGCCGTCATCTCACGAGTTCTTCGACGCACGTTTGCCGACAAAGAGGTCGTTGTGCATTGTCTTGTTGGGTACTGCCGATGTCAACGCTGAGCGATGTCAACGCGTGCTAACGCTGTGAGGATGCGAGCTAACATAGCAATGCGCCGACTGGCTTGCGTGTCATGTGCAGCAGCTAAAAAGCGAAACTCAGCAGCTATCATGCTGAGAAGCTGCTGATGGAACTGATCGTACCAACGGAGGTGGTGTGGATCGAAGATCCGATGCGAGCGGGATCAGATGAAGCACAGCTCATTCAGCGCCTTTCAGTGTCGCTATCGGGTGAAGTAGTCCAGTAAACTGGACGTGTTGTACGACGAAGGCGTAGCTAACATGGAGGTTGACCGTGTCGAAAGCGACATGGACTGATCGATAACTGCGCTGACTGGTGCGCTTCTTCGGTCCTGCCTGTTATTGAAGCGCCTAGAGCGATTGACTGGCTACTCGAGAAGGTGCCAATTCTGTTGCACTTGGCAGCATCGTACATACCCTACGGCTTTGAGCGGAACATTGACTGTTCTCATCATCATTATTGCAACGACAATCGATGTCATGATCATCATCAAACTAAACTGACCTGACATTAGCTAAAAAGAAAGACGATGAGTCAAACTTGATCTCTACTATATGCTATAGATGTAGGACGCGCATGGTCGACATCGTCTCGAGCGTAGAAACCTGATGCAAAAGTCATAGAAGCTCTAATAAAGCACTCGAACCGCTTCAAGCGGTCGACTGATGACGTTGCCAACGTAAACATGTCTCGCAAAATCGTCTGTCTACGCCAATACTGTCGTCCGATGGACCAAAAGATGTATTCTACGGTCAACTACAGCGTGTTCTGATGCAAATGCTGCAATCGACGCAGTATCGGTGCGCGGGGTTACTCATTGCAACCGTGCTGTCGAACTTGTACCTCCCCACACTCACATGAGCCCAATTTGCATCTGTCGAGGCAGAAGCCACTGCACCGATTGTGCGACGCAGATAATGGTGTAACGACAAAAGCGACGAGCGACGCTTACCGTCTGCTTACCTTGGACGGCAGTAACGATGCTAACGCAGGGTTTGTATCCGTATCTTCGGACACGAACGTTCCTCTACACGCAAGCCGCAGCGCATCGATCCCGATCAAGCTCCAAGTACATCATTGCTTGTACAATAAGCGGGACTATCATCCGCTCGCGTATGGGACGGTAAAAAGTATCTTGCCAACCCACATGACTGCCCACAACGTTGCCAAAGCTGTACGTACGAACACACGATCTTTGATTAGTTGACGCATGACCTTAGCATTGCGTCAAGCTGTACGTACGAACACACGATCTTTGATTTGTTGACGCATGACCTTAGCATTGCGTCAAGCTGCATGACCTTAGCATTGCGTCAAGCTGCATGTGAGGTGCGGGGCAGTGTGAGGATGATTCATGCTTCGATCCGACGTCGTAACTTGATCTAGACCTCCATCATTGGCCGTCATTATGTAGCGGCGAAGAGATGACTCCGATCGAAAGCGAGTAACCGTCTATCGGTTACAATCTGCTTGGACATTTCTTTGCCTACGACGAAGCCGTAGATTCACAGTACAAACGCCTAGTATCAAGCCACGCGGGCGACCCTGCTGCACCGCAATCGACCATTTCTCACGTACAGTGTTGCCGGTTGGTCCTTAAGAGAAAGTCACAGGCGGCGTAGTGAAGGGCGGGGAGCTTGCAAATGTGCATCGTTAGCATCTGAGCCACACCAGCGTAGCTAGAACAGGCTGCTCACCTAAGAACATCCTGTCAGCGACGTTAGTTTACAACGTTGTTGCACTCATTGATGGTCTAATTAGTGCTTTTCTCACACAGCGTGTTTATGCGATCCAAATATATTGACAAACATACTGCAAATGCCTTCCGCTGTTGCTACTGACTGCAGGTTGCCAACTATCTTTAGGGGTCACGTCAAGCTTGTTTAGTCGAGTCGAGGACGTTCTTCGCGACATCTTGCTGTAAGGATCTAGCAAATGACATGCGATCGAATCGATGCAAAGCCGGCAGATACCTACGGGTGTAGGATATCACAACTAAGTATGATTTTGGTTTCGGACTGCACCATATGTTGCCGACCAGCCTTTATACAAAGCAAGTCGGGTTACGCCCGATCAAGTGTATTTGTGATGACACCATTCGTTACAAAATACGATCCGACACTCTCGAAAGCTTGTCATACGATATTCACGATCATGTTATCTGCACTATCTGCGAACGTGGCGGTGGAATCGTGGCTGACAGGCCTGTTCTTACCATAGAATATGGGATGGTTCTCACATCGTCCAGTGTCCATTAACTCGTGAAGCGTGTCTAAATGTGCGGAAATGCTCATCTCAGCAGTTTCAGCGAGGAGACCTACGAGCCGTCGTGTCTCGAGAACGTGTTGCGAATAAACTTTCGCCATCGGGGGCGAATCGGAGCTTGTGGGTCAGAGCGGCGTTGTTGGAACTGCTCCTTCGTGACAGATAGACGTGACGTGACATGTTCCTCAACTGAGTGGCGGTTGCTTTGCTACAATATCCAACAAAGTTAGTACCCGTCATCGCATGCACCGTTTGCGGAGACATGGCTTACCTGGACATGACGCCATTGATCGGTAGGACCACCCGAACAGGACAAGTTTGCTTGCGCCTGCTGTGCATACTTTTTTTGTGCCTGAGCCTGTTCAGTCTTGCGACCCGCTTTACCTGCCTTTATGTCCTCCGTCCGCATAAGCTCTAGGTACGACGCGCCTGCGCATCGACAGCAATTGTTAGACTGTAAACGTTGACAACAGCACCGTTCGTCCGAAAGATACCTTTGTAACGAAAAACTACACCAGTGTCATTCTGCCACTTCGCGATGCGATTTGCTAAGATTGCAGTGTATTTTGGCAGCTCCCGCTCAATTCGTACGCGCGTTTTCTCGTCTGGCACACCATGTCTGTGCAAAAAAACGACATAATTATTTTCTACAGATCCTGATGGTGCACGCCAGTATGGCGCATGGATCGTACTTCGCGCGAGCTTGTAGAATTTCCTCGCGTTTGGCGATATACTGTCATTCAGGATGCTTTAGGTACATGGGTAAAAGCCATGTAGCTTGGTAACGTACCTGAGAGAGGACCCTCTTCGTGGACAGTTGCTTTTTCAGCCTGTCAACTTCTTTTTCGTGAGCACGGAAAACTCTGTACGACAGCGCCGAGTCCGGAGTCGTCATCGTGGTGGTGAAATACTCACGATCGTCAGATTCGTAGCCCAATAGATTCCAGTATTCAGTAATGGCGTTGCGCAACGTTGCGACTTGGACCACAATAGCAGCAAATCGTTTGTGGTGACGTTGCAGTCTTATCAACTCCGCGTCACACTACGCAGCAGAGCACATGATTAGCTCATTGCAAACTCTTCAAACACTGAAACAGCCTCACCGACGCAATTGTAGCTTTGCCAACTCCATGAATCGTCAATCGAAAACGCTCTTGCTCCTCGTCGGAAATCTGCGGGCAAAAAAGGAATTAAAATCGCGTTTGAGGAAATGGGCAAATGGCCCCAGTCACACTGTTCGTGCTACCTTTAACTCCCGCCACAGATCGTGTATTTGTCCGAGCTTCTCCGTCAGACGCAACTTCCGTGCATCCTTTACTCCTCGCAGCTCGGCAGTCCTCAGAAAAATCTTCTCAAGCATGTCAGTCGACATCTCTCGTTTCTACGAAACACGCATCACATCATCGCACGTTTGTTTACACCAACGCAAGTATTGAGAAACTACAATCCCTTTTTGTAACAGACAGCGCGTTCACCTTCAATCGTGCAGTAAGGTCGTGCGCGAACGTGTCTTTCGTCTCAATCTGAAGCTCTCTAGCGAGCTCCACACACTCACTTACAGCGCCCAGAAGGGCAGCTCTCCGTGAATACTGGCCGATCAAAGAGCCAGGTCACGTTATCACGAAGAACAACAGCAATGACGATGAAGCTTACCACTTCACGCGACTTGCGCTTGATCATGTCGTGTAGAGTCTCTTTGTACTCTTCGCTCAAAGTGGACGGACCAGAAGGCTGGTGCATTTTCACACAAATGCAAAAGACGTGGTGTCGGTCGCGACAGTCATCAAAACTGCCAAAGCTCTCATTCCTCACCAGCTCGGACGTTGTGCCGAGCTTCTTGTCCATTCGACCCAAATGGTCGTGCAGCCTTTCGACGTCAGCTAGTCGTCTGGCGCGAACCTAGACAATAGAGCTCATCTGTCGGCAGCAACAAACGAGACTTACAACGACAAAGCAATGGACGCACCCGATCCAAGAGCTCGAACTCCACTTCGAGTGCTGCAAGTCTATCACGGAGTGCACCGCTGCAGAGCTGGTCGAGCGACTGCACGCACCAGCCGACGGACTGTATGAGGTACCATGGCACAGAAGCATTAGATCGAGACTCGCTACGTTCTTTCCGATCCCAGTCCCTTTGCCGCTCACATCTTTGCCCTGAAGCTGCCCATTGATCCTCTGCACCTCTTTTTCCAGTGCAGTCACTCGTGCGGTAGCAGTCGTGACTTGGTCCCGCCACGTCTCCACTTTGGCTCGGCAGCACTTCTCGACAGTTGCAATCAGCTGTGTCTGTTCCTGCAGCTGCTCTCGCTCCGATAGTCCAAACGTCTGCCACAGCGCACTCAGCTCTGCCAGAGCGTCAGCAACGCGTGATTGCATTGCTGGCTCCATGTGCACGTCAATGGCGTTCTGGCCAGAAAGGTCGCCTTCCATTTTCTTGTTCGCAGTCGGCAGGTCATTGTTTCGAATGTACCCATCGGCGATCGATGCACCTGTCGATGGATCTGATAATAGCTACATTGCGTACACCACACGCCGCGTCGGTGGCCCCGCCAGTGGGGTTTTTACACGCCGAGGTTTTTCACGCGAATCATTGGTTGGTGGTCGTCGCGCACGCGCTCGACGGGGCGCTCGCACAAGTCATCGCTCTCTGAAAAGAACAGGAATCACTCATCGCAACTGCAGCATGGCGACCCAACGGGAGGAGGACATCAAGATGATGCTGGCCGCGCAGGTCCACATCGGAACGCGCAATGCGGACTCGAAGATGGCAGACTACATCTGGCGTCGCCGTAACGATGGCATTCACATTATCAATGTGGGCAAGACGTGGGAGAAGCTTATGCTTGCTGCGCGCGTGATTGTGGCCGTGGAGAACCCCGAGGACGTGATTGCGATCTCGGCCCGCCCGTACGGCCAGCGTGCAGTGCTCAAGTTTGCGCAGCACACGGGCTGCCAGGCGATTGCTAGCCGCTTCACCCCTGGCACGTTCACCAATCAGATCACCAAGCAGTTCCGCGAGCCGCGTCTGCTCATTATCACGGACCCCCGCACCGATTCGCAGGCCGTACGTGAGTCGTCGTTTGTCAACGTGCCCGTGATTGCTTTCTGTGACTCGGACTCGCCCCTGCAGTTCGTGGACGTTGCCATCCCGGCCAACAACAAGGGCAAGCTGTCTATTGGCCTGCTCTACTGGCTGCTTGCCCGTGAGGTGCTGCGTCTGCGCGGCACGATCTCTCACTCTCTGCCGTGGGATGTGGTCGTCGACCTGTTCCTCTACCGTGACCCGGAAGAGCTCAAGAAAGCTGAAGAAGCTCAGGCTACCGCTGCTGAAGAGACGTCGGCTCGCATTGGATGGGGAGATGCTTCGCAGACCCCTGCAGAGCCGTCCCTGTACGCTGCTGAGCCATCTGTCCCTGTTGCGGGTATCCCTGAGTCGACTCCGGCAGCAAACTCGGAGTGGTCTGGCGAAGCTGGTGCCGTGCCGACTGGCTCGAACTGGGACGCTGTGGTCCCTGCTGCTGCGTCGAGCAGCTGGGAGTAAGGTGCTACCGGTTTTGGCTGTGGCGGTCAGTGGATGAGGTGCTGCCGAGTCCACGTGCTTTGCATGCTGCAAAGATCATGTTCTTTTCAATGACGAAGCAATGAAAGTGCGTGTCTTGTAGAATGGACTGTCATCACTGCTGTGGAGAAGTGGACGCATGGAATAGACGACGGTGTTATGCGATGGCACCTGGTTAATGCGACCAAACGCTTCTGATGCAGTGTGCTGACGCGAATAATACATTTGTCAAGACATGTCACTCTCACTCGACTTACCACTGCGCAGTTTGTAGCTCTCTCTTTTCTTCCTTTGCCCAAACGGAAGCAGGTTCGTGCAACCTCGCGTACTGCATACTTCGTGTCCGCCACACTATATTCGCAGCGCAATAACATTCGCCAAAGATCTAGGTTCGAGAGAGAGAAAACAAAAAACCTCACGCAGTCGACATTAGGTACACCAATCGCGCACTAACGACGTCATGAGCGGCGACCAGGACGCAGCGGCCCTCGCGACGCCCACAACAGTCGCCGAACCCGCGACAAAGACACTGGAGGAGAAAGGGGACACTGCGTTTGACAAGGAGGTGCTGTTGCCTGAAGGACCTGAGGCGAAGAAGAAGCCCGTACTGAAGCGCGAAGCCAGCAGTGAGAAGGTGGCCACCGTCGAGCCGAGTGCGCGGGCTGTAGAGAGCCCTAGCCTGTCAGTAGAAACGGCCGCACCAGCTATAACTGTCGAGGAAGAGGACACAGAGTCGGAGCCGGAGCAGCAGCCAAAGAAGCGCGTGAAAACGAGTAAAAGGGGACCGAAGACTGGTGGTCGTCGGAAGAAGACGCCACTGTCGGACGTGTCGGACGACGACGACGACGATGAAGAGCAAAAGGAGGTGGAGCGAAAAGTGGGTGCGCTGAGTGACGAGATCAAGGGCAGGTTTGGGCAGATTGCCTGGGCCAAAATGGGTGGCTACCCGTATTGGCCTTGTATTATCACGGACCCAAGACTGCTTTCAGTGAAGCTACAGGAGACCGCGGTGAAAGCACTGGAGACCAAGTACCTCGTCTTTTTCTACGTGTCGAAGAACTTGTGCGTTCGCGTGGAGCTGCTGTTTTTTGTTGCCCGAAGGAGTGGGAAACGGAAGTTGATGATGGTGCTCATGTGTTTTTGTTGATGTTGCTTTTTGTGTGGCTTGTATAGTGCGCCTGTTTCGTTCAAGTGGATTGAAGCGTGGGATGATACCAAGTTCAAGTACCGAGAAGGGTACCCGGAGAAAGACTCGAAGGCACCCAAGCGACGAGAGAAATTAATGGCGGCCATTGCAGCAGCAGATGTAAGTCGATCAAAGCAGGAGAAGAAGGTATGCGCTCGAGCATCGACTAACGCGTTTCGTCTTTGTTGTTGTTGTGTGGTGAACAGAAAGAGACGAAACTGCCGATCGAAGATCGAGCGAATGGGCTAATGAGACCCGTAGAAAGAGAGAAGCTGGTCGTGACGCCTACGCCGGTCAAACGAAAGCCTGGCCGACCACCTAAGAACAAGACAGCAATCAAGACTACGCCAAAACAAACACAAAAGAAGCGACAACAGAAGGATGATCCAGCAAACGGAAGTGATGCGAAAAAAGCTTCTGCGAATATGGCAGAAGAGGAAGAAGATGCAGCAGGTCCAGCACTTAGCAAGGAAGAGATTAAGGCGAAGGTGGCCAGTCGTAAAATGCCAAAGATGAAAGAAGCTGATGGCGCCGCCAGTGGTACTAGGGTATCTGCCAAGAAGACAGTCAAGACTCCTGCCAAGTACGGAAAGTCGAATGGCTTTGCTGAAATCGATAGTAAGCGGAAGAAGGAAATTGAGCTTGTGGTCCCCCATAAGTCCGTAAGATCAGCCGACATTCGCGAGATAAGCGAGGAAGCTGCGAAAAAGAAACCGGGCACTCTGAAGAGCAAGACAAAGCCCGACAAACGCAAGTACAAGGTGGGCGACCTTGGCGTGTTCGCGAGCAAGATGGCACGGCTACAGGCAAAGGAGTCGGCGCGGAATAATGATGAGCTGGTCGGTATGATGCAAGAGCTATTCAAGGAAACGCTTATGTATCGCTCAGACGTGGAGCGATCGGGTTTAGCTGCTATAATTGCGATATTGCGCAAGAGCTTGAGCCCCACTGTGGGGCATACGGCAAGTGCGCTGAGGAAGCATATGATCAACATCCTGAGCAACAATACCGACAGCACAACTGTCCTCGGCAAGAGACCTCACGATGCTACTGAGCAAGGCACGAAGAAGCGAAAGGCTGAAAACGGTAGTCGTGTGAAGGTAGAGGAGCAGCAGCAAAAGCCTGTGGTTGGGTCTTCTCTTTCCACTACAGCGGACGTGGGTGCCCAAGGACCTTCAACATCGACAAATGTAAATAAAGTAGAAGGGACGTTGCCGAAAGGGGATGCAGTGAAGACGGAGGAAAAAGCGTCTATCCGGCCCGTTGAAGGTGCTGCTGCGAAGAATGCACAGTTGGGGGACATGTCGGAGGGCGCTGAGGAAACTGTTGGAGATGATGGCGTATCATCTGTGGACAAGCAGATGACTTCTCCGTCGACGATGGCAGATAAACATGCAGATAGTGCAGCGAAAGACAACGAAGACATGTTTGAAGCACCAGAACACACAGACAAGAATAGGTTGATCTTCGTGGAAATGCTGAGCAAAATCCTCGATCACGACGGGTCGAGGCGCGCGGACTTGGCGAACGAAATCGAGGTACGATGGCGCGAGATTGTTTGTCAGCGGTGCCACTACGTAGCCACGACGGGGTATGCTAATGCTGAGCATATCGTTATCTTGCAGGCAGCACTGTTTGAGCGATTTAAGGAGAGCAACGACGATTATTTGACTCAAGCGCGTATCATCATATTTGGCTTAAAGGAGAATGCCGCCATGCGAGACCGGCTCTTCTCGGGAGCTTTGCACTGTTTGGAGTTTGCATACGCTGACGACGCGGTGCGTAGCGACGTATTGCTCGTTGGCGGTGGTCTGTTCCGCTTCATGCTCATGCTCTTGTTGTTTGTGCTGCTTAGTTTTTTTGTAAAACGATCGAGTGATCGCACATTGCAGGTGAAAACGGTAAGATGAAGAGCCGTAGGAGCTTCTCCCCCCGTCAGATGCTAGTCTCGTTTGTTCATAGCCTGGCCATATTTGACAAGCAAGCCAATAGTCGTGTCGTCAAATGTACATTGCGTTTGTCGATCGCGTTGGACGACGTGTACGTACGTACGTACGCACGCACTGTCCGTGTACCTCTGCGGGCATCGCGTCAGAAAGATCTGACCCCGTGCTCCCCATCGCGCTCTGAGTGACCTAAAGATTTTCCTATCGAGAAACTCGTCATGGCGCGGGCGCATCTCCTCCTGAGCGCAGAGCTCGAGCGCGCGTTTGCTGACGCACAGAGCGGCAAGTTGCGCTACGTCAAAGTCTCCATCGACGGCGAGTCCTTCGTGCTGAGCGCTGTAGGGCCCGCGTCTGGAGATCCTCGGGACGACGTCGCGCAGCTGGTCGCGTCGTGTCTGCCCGCTGACCAGGCGGCATTTGTCCTGCTGTGTCCCGACACAAACGTCTCAGCTCTGCGGTGGGTCCTCTTGGCGTTCGTGCCCGAGCGCGTGAGCGTGCGCGACCGCATGCTCTACTCGTCTTCCCGTGACTCGCTCAAGAAACAGCTGGGGCTGAACTACTTTTCCGGGGAGTTCCACGCCACGGAACTGGTACAGTGCTACTTAACGCGTCCTTTTTGTAGTAGTTGTTGTTGTTGCAGTAGTTGTTGTTGTTGTTGTTGTTGTGTGTCTGGCTCGATGAATGACACGCGCAAGAGAGGGAGGGAGTTGTTGGAGGAAAAAGCAGACACACCAGATGGTGACCAGGAAGACTGAGAACGTTCCGTGGGGGTGTCTTTTCGTGCCTGCAGTGCGAAGTGACGTGGGCGGCTTTTCGCGCGGCGAGAACGAAACAGGCGGCCGATGCGCCGCTGTCCGAGTCGGAACGGCTGCTACGAGAGGCAGCCATGTTGGAGCGCGACACGAGCGTCAAGTCGAGCGCCATGGGCGTCGTGCCGTTTGAGATCACGCAGAACGTGCGGGAGAAGCTGCAGCTGCTGCAGGACAACAAGTTTGACTGGATTGCTATGGTGACGTGTTGAAGAGAGCGATGCAGCTAGTGCTGTAGCTGCTGTTGTTGTCATTGATTGGCTTGTGTTGTTGGGAAGGCTGGATGGGTCTGCTGACGATCGAGGTGCTGGTGTTTTGTGCGCCTGTCTTGCATCAGAGACTGAGCGACGACAACGTTCGTGTCGAGGTTGTCAAGAGTCTCGAGACCATTGACCTCATTGACGTGCCGAGCGTACTGGATCGTCGCATTCCGAGCTTTGTGGCTTATCGCTACCGTGGCCCGCTGGCTTCTGAAGCTACGTCTGCACTCGGTATGTTGATTGCCTGATCTCTTTTGGTCGCGTAGGCCAACGAGGCACGATGACTGTCTTTGTGTGCGACAGTGTTTCTGTACGTGTGTCCAGAAGACTCGCCCGTGCGCTTGAAAATGGTCTACTCGACGTGCAAAGCTACAGTGCTCTCCGTTGCAAAAGAAGAGCTACACATGACGTTCGACCATACTGTAAGCAGCTGGTCTCTGGCCCTGCACTCGGTGTGAAAACTGATGCAGTTTGCTTGCTGTGTGTAGATTGAGATCAACACCCCTTCCAGTGCAGCCGATGAGATCCGATCGGAGTTGGCGCCGTCGGCAAGTGAGGAGCAGCAAAAGCCGCGGGAGTTTGCGCGTCCTGTTGCGCCTGGAGGCCGTGGACGTGGACGTGGCAGAGGTAGGGGCCCAGGTCCTTCTGTCGCCCACTGAGTCGATCGCAGCATTCGAGTTGACCGCCAGTAGATGGTGAATGACCAGTGCATGTGTGTCAGCTACGATCAACGTTGACGACAATTGCACAGCGCCGTGTAAAACTTCATTGCAAGAACCTGTGGTTAGACCTACCACCCTCTCTCACCTGCGGCTGTTTCTACTTCTACCCGTCGCCTTGCGCACAGACCTCACATGCTGCCTCCTACCTCCTGCCTTTCTTCTTCCCCTTCTTCTTTCCACTACTAGAGGGCGGAGTGGCTCCAACAGCAGCAGCAGCTGCTGCAGCCTTAATCGTCGCCTCTTCGGCCTCTCTCGCTAACCGCACCTTGCGGGACTGCAGCTTGGGGATCAACTCGGCCATCTTGAGCATCAGCGCTTTGCGCGTGGGAAACTCGGCGTTCTCCAACGAGCCGTCTTCACGCACGAGACGCACGCGAATGCGACCAGCGACGAGCCAGTCGCGCGGGTACTTCTTCGACGGCTCCAACACGTGCGGTAGCTGCAAAAACGTGCAGACTTCCGACATTTCCTCGGCAATCGGAGTCTCGCACGCTTGCGACTTGGAAATCCGTCGGCCCTGCTGCACCGTTCGCTTGCTGTCCAAGTAGTTGGGGTAAAACGTATAGAACGTCGTTGTGCGAGTCCCCTCTGCCAGGCCGTACGCGTAAATGGCCTTGGGGCGCATCGGGTCCATGGGCGGGACCATGCCCGGCAGACCGCCCATGCCCGGCAGACCGCCCATACCGGGCAGACCGCCCATGCCAGGCATACCGCCCATGCCAGGCATACCGCCCATACCGGGCATACCACCCATACCGGGCATACCGCCCATCCCAGGCATACCGCCCATTCCCTGCATCATTTCCATCATTTGGGACATATCCGGCATGCCACCGCCCGAGCCGCCAAACATCCCCATTAGGTCCCCCATGTTGGCCCCATTGCGTTGTGGTCTCGAGCGACTTGTCGCTGTCGGCTGGTTCAGAGACACAGCGTTCGAGTCGTAGCGCTCGCCCGCGACGTTGTCCTTGACGCGGCCCTTGCGCACCATAAGTCGACCGGCAGAGATGGGCTCGACGGTCAGTTTTACTGTTCAGTGGGATGACGGGTCTGTCATTGGTGTGGGGGACATGTGGGACGGGAGTACGACGTCACAGAGTTTCGCAATGTTCTGCTGCGTGTGCTAAAATAGTGTGGCACGCAGAAAACTCGCCGAGAACAATTTGTGTGCACGTATTGTCAACGATATTTACATCAAGACAATAGGATAATTGATTGACGACAATTGAGCCAATATGTCATGGAAGAGAAGTGTTTTCACAATTAGACAAATTATGCCAAACGTAGTGAGGGTGTATACTGTGCTTTCCAGTGTACACACCAGCACGTGGACCGCTTACCATCAATGACGACACGATCTATTACAATCACATTCAATATACAATATAAACCAAATTTCTAAAATGGACCCGTCAACGAAGGGCTGTGCATTTTGTCGGACAAAGCGTTATAACCTTTACGACGAAACTCGATGTGGACCCGTCACAATGACTTTCCTAGGCAGGCACATTGCGCCATGATAGTGGTACAGCTCAAAGCTTACATGATGAGTTTATAGCTAATTATTGGCATCCGTACTTTATGGTGACTGAATCTTCTAAAACAAATATTAACGATGTCCGTAAAAGCAATGGAAGTCTTTTGTCCTAGCACGACAGTTCGATCATCGAGAGTTGCCCTTTCGACGAGGTCAATTGTCATGAGGGATGATGCATATAGTAATTTCGGTATAGCTGAGTTTTCTCCGAGCTTCATTACACTCTCGTGTAGACAAATAGATGATGAAAATGCACAACATCAGTGCGTTCGACCAGGCAAAAAGACCTCTTTTCTATTTACAGACTTATGACGTAATCTATTCGTAAACTGATACCTGTCTACAACATTATATTGTCAACAAGTGCGCATCTCTCATTGAGCGCATGGTTTTTTTATTGTTGCGTTGTAAACATGGCCCATCTCAGCCAGCGATCCGCGACTAGCACTTGCTTAGTAAATGTATACGCTCAGTGGAATACCATCGGTTATCATTTGTTGATTTGGTTTGAAAATGACGACAAAAATGAAATGCAACTGGCCCACCCTGTTACACAACCGCCTCCTACGATCGTTATATAGTTGAGACTGACTGAATATCGAGTATTTCACTTCAAATTCTTCTGGTATAAGAGCAATTATCTGACATATCGTAGCGCAAGGCGCTCGCTCCAGAATTACTGTCGACTTCGTATACGCACACGTCGTGCAATCTTGCTTCAGAACGATTGCGGACTGACCGTATGAGCGCACGTTGTGCAATCCATCGAGTTTAGAAACCACAGGATGACAACGTATGCGGATAAGAAGTCAATAGTTCATAATTTAGTGATAAGCGTGCAACGAATCCAGTAGGCTTAAAGTAGCAGCTCGTGTGTGAACTAAGGACCTATTGAGACCACTTTTATATTGTCCATTAAGGGACCACACATACTATATGAAGCGAACCTTTTCTGTGGTATGGACGATATCAAGGCTACGTGTTAAGTCTACCACCCTGTGCCGTCTGAAGAGCTGCATACACGGATCCTTCATTCAAAATTCATTTGCATCTTTTGTGAATTAGCCTTCGATATTTGATCGTTTTAGGCTTAAAGAACGCGACCTACACATCAGGTCTTCATATATGACGCCTAATTTCAACTCTGTCTTCTCTGGCAAGCCATATAAATGCAACGACTAGAAGCTGTCCTCAAATGTATCTGATTTTACTGGGGAGACGGATGGTGTCGGCCAAAAAGACATCATATCAATCTGAGTGAGGCATCTCCAACAAGATTCTTATGCTATCCCAGAATGAGCCACGCGACTCAATTACATATGAAATCCTTTGCGCACACTTGGACGCGAAGATGGTAGTGAAGACAGTGGATCAATGGGTCGTTACTTATATGGCAACTTGGATATGTGTCGCCGTATTTGAAAGCAACGTGATGATTTGATATACGTGGTGGTAATTCTTTAGTATATGAATTGTAAAAAACTAAAAACGCGATGTCTTTGATGCCAATCCTAATTTGTAGCCGTAGAAATTTTCATAGTGCTTCATCGATTTTGTATAGCACGAAAAGCGCTCATATATGAATGGCGCTAACGAATAAATGGCGCCAACGAATGAATGGCTTTACTAATGCAACTGCAATAACGTCAGTGTAAAACGATTTTGCACAAAGCATAATTGTATCATCAACATCTTCTTCATATACATGCGTCACATCGGCCGACGTGTATGAGACGATGAGTAGACTGAACAGACTTGGAATGCAGTAGTTGATGTAAAAAATCTCGAGTTCCAAACATGACTGCATAAGTGGCGAGTTCTGTCTTAACAAAGATATTTTTTATGAAAGGTTATATTGCGATCTTTGATGTAGAAGGGTCACGTTGTCTTGGCTCTAAATAGAGACTACTTTGGCATGTCTCGCTACAAGTGATTCATGTCCGGTCTGCATCAAAAATTTGCTTTGCATCGAGAAAGAATATTGTTGTATTGTACCTCCCATCGATGTCTCGCATCTCTCATGGATAATAAAAGCTGCATCAAACTGCATTTACTAACGCGCATGGCGCTCATTTAAAAAAAACGTTTTGTATGATCGATTGATCTTGTAGTGCTACCAAATTATGCCGGGCACATTAATTATAATTTGGTACCGATTCCAACAGGTCTCCGTCGTGAGCGTGCTTTCATACACCAACAACACTTCATTTTGTCTCGAGCTCTGGCAGCGGTCTTCTTGTCGCGATATTCCCGCTTATCCGCGTTGGGGACGAAATATACTATCTAGTGTCCCTTGCGACGGGTAAGGGTTGCGCTTAGCCGCCGTCTCACTTCTGTAGGCGTCTAGAGCGCTTTGTATTGAAGCGTTATGCAAATTACCACCATCTTACGTTGGGTTCGTACACCAATATATATATGTTGTTTTAAAGGTGAGAGTGTGGGCGTTGCCTGACGCATTGTATAGTGAGGGTACTGCGTCAAGCATATCTTAGCAAGACGACTGCAAACCATTCTTGATATATATATCGATAGGCAACACTGCTATTCGATGGCATCACAAGCACGAAGAAGTATCGATTTACTTGCGAGTCGGCTATCATTAAAAATGGTAAACGAATGTCAGGTGCGACTGATCTTATGGGTAATTCTGCTGAGATAAATCACTGCAAAAGCGAAACGCGTGATCTACACAAAACATTAGTCTGTGCAATCGGATCACATTCAACGCAAGTATTCCCACGAGAAGAGTTGACGGTTTTCACAAATATATCTACCAATGTTGTCACCTTAAGAGTTCAGGTTTTTGCGCTCCGTTGTAACAAAAGAACTATCTGTTGAAGATTCATGAACGCGACATCACTTACAACGCTTATTGTATCCACACATTGATGGTACGACCAAAGACGCCCTAACTAATGCGTAAGATATATACACTTCTCATCTAGCACAGCACAGCAATCGTGTACGTACAGCTTTGCGGAGAAATACATGACATGACACCAAATAAGATCTTGGGATCTTCTTACCTCTATCACTGCATTATTTATCTATGTGCGCGATTAGGCGTATACATGATCCAATTCTATTCGGTAAGCAGACATTTTTCACTTTTAGTTTTGTATCGCTTATTTTCTGCGTATCTATCACCTCAGCGATGATACAATGCACGAAAACAATTACCTATTCTCGAGTCTACATAAACTACCGTTTCGGATTGCTTTCGTTAACATAGGGATCCAGTGCACTAACAGAGTGCTGCAACAATATATATATATATATATATATATATATATATATATATATCGGTAGAGATAAAGCCGTCTTTCTGCTGGTAATATATTGGACAACATTAGAATTTCAGCACCGTCCTTCGTAAGAGCGCCATCAGCCTTGCTCTAATCTTCTCTACTCTGACGTGGCCAAGATCGTAGTTATTTGTTGTCAAAGTCCACGTCGCCACGTGATGAGCAAGAAACAGGTTGACGATCTCTCGATCCAGTTTGGTATCTTTTCAACTATTATTGCACTTCCAATATAATGTAAAATGGGTGGCGCAAGCAATGTGCGTAAAGATTTGCACCCTTGTTGAACATACGCACTGGGTGGTACTACAATCATTGACAACCAGTAATCCCTTACAACTTGCGAAGTAGTGGACCTATCCTACTAACATCGCTTTTTAACTTTGTACACTCTTCATATTACGGATAGTTAGATGTAAACATCTTTCTATGTATTTACAAACTCGATTCACGTAGTCGATTCTTCGCGTGACTCTTGGGTGCCCGTCGTGTACTTAATACACGGGGTAACTTATAACTATAAAGAATAGGGTTAATTAAGACATAAGCACATATATCTGTTGTGATTGAAAGTGGATCAATAACCCGGTATCTTGAACAATCATTTTGCTTGCTAATTCGAAACACCAAGCATACCTGTACTTTGAGAGCATCTTCGAAATTCTCAAGAAATTTATCCTATCTACAAAACGCTACGCACTCTGCCGGAAATATCTTACGTTGTAATCACGTGAGAAGTCAACGAATGAATAGGCTTCACCCTATTGGAGCTTAGCGAGAACGAATATACATGCACATCCAACACGATGATTTCAACTGTTTAGGTTTAGTCGACCACTCAAAGAGATAATATTGTGAACGCGAAAACCTTATGGTGCGTAGCAATGCTCAAAAGTGATCTGCACTCATCTAGATTTGGAAATCGGAACGGCGACACGTGCCATGTGATCTGTAAGAGTTTTGTAATCAGCAAACCGTTGCGAGTGGTTGATCAGTACAACATGGTTGATGAGACACGACCAAGAATGGTATTTAAGATCGGAATATAATCACACTATGATAAATAAGACGAATTTGACCCTAGACGTGCACTTAAGCCATTCTCACGTCATCAAGAATTGTTGATGGCGGAACAAATGAAAAAAATATCCC